CCTCATTGTTATACAAAATTACATATAAGAGGTTGTGAGGGGAATGGGAAAAAATAAGGGGAGAAATGAATTACAGTAGATGGGGTAGAGAGAGAAGATGGGAGGGGAGGGGAGGGGGGATAGTAGAGGATAGGAAAGGTAGCGGAATACAACAGTTACTATTATGGCATTATGTAAAAATGTGGATGTGTAATCAATGTGATTCTGCAATCTTTGTAATATTTTGAATAACCAATTAAAAGAATAAAAATAAAATAAAAATGAAACAAATAAAAAAGAGAGAGAGAGCGAGAGCGAGAGAGAGAGAGGTGTGAGGGACTAGGGATTGTCCCCAGGAGCAGTCTAACACTGAACTGCATTACATTTTTTATTTTGAGACAAAGTCAAACTAATTTGTATGGGCTGGCCTCAAACTAGCAATCCTCCTGCCTCAGCCTCCTGAACATCTGGGATGAGAGGCTGTGTCATGTATCTGGCCAGATAATCTCCATAATACTCACACGACACCAGCCAACTGCAGACACACCTCATAAAGCCAGTGCTTGCCCCCTAAAGCCTCAGGAGACACCTCCCCATGTCCTTCCTTTGAACCCTCAGGCATAGATGGCCCCTCCTGAGGCTGCCCATCCCCTGGGGGCCCAGTCCTCCCTACTCTGGAGCAGGAGACCCCAAGACAACTCCCGTCCTCTTCCTAGACTCACCCTGTACTGGACAGAGTCATGTATCCTGGGGACACTCAGTAAACAGAAACAACTCTTCAGCCAGTAGGTTAGGGCCACCTGTGCCCAGGGACAGGACCAGCTCTTACCATTTGGACCCTGGGCAGCATCCCTGCTACAGTCCCTGAACTGGCCATAGTTCTCCTTATGACCACCAGGGGGCGACATGGGACTCACAGTCAACACTTGGCAAATGGATTCTGAAACTTGGACTATGGTTCAATAGGTGGAAATGTGGCCTGATTTCCATCTGCAATAGACTACCGGGTGCCTCCCACGAACCTGCTCAGCTCCCACCCCGACTCCTTCCTAGGCCTGTGAGGACCTTGCACTGCCAGGGGTCTCTGAGCAGGCCTTTGCCTCTGGGTAACACCCATGGAAAAAGTCAGGGTGACCACAGGAGAATCACAGAAGGCATGGGCAGGCTTGAGCCACAGCTGCACCAAAAAATGAAGAGGGAGGGGCTCCCTAAAATCTCTCCCTGAGGACCAAGGAGCCCATGGTCACCTACCTCCACTACCACAGTACTTCCTTCCTAGTACACAAAGGATGTGAATATCCTGAGATAGCCACTCAGAGGCCAGGCTGGAGACACCAGGTACAGAGAGCAGGTCTCCTCACCAGCCATCACTCACTGGGCCTCTTTCTAGACCCCAGAACTGTTTCTGTCCCCTTCCTGTAGGGAGGAAATCCACCTTCCTAGAGCATTTGAGAACATGGGGAAGACACAGGACAAAACCGTAAAGGGGAATATGCCCAGGGTGAGGGGACCCCAGGGGCTCCCTGGGTGGTGCTGAGAGCCCTGAGGCCAGGACACAGCTGAGGCCAGTGCTGGGTGAGCCACTTCTCTCAGGGGACAGCGTCCCACCTGCCTTGCTCCTCAGGGTGTGGCATGCAGTAGTGAAACCCAACAGGGAAAGCAGAAGGGACAGGAGGCAGGACTGAGAGGGAGGGGACAGAGAGGTTCCTCCACAGAGACCCCGCCCCCAGCCCTGTGACCCAGGAAAGTGCTCCTGCCCTGGGAGGAGGCTGAGCTCAGAGAGGAGCAGGGCAGCAGGGCTGACTGGCCTGGACCTCGGCTTCCCAGCGGGTCTGCAGTGAGCTCCTTCCACAGAGGGGACAGAGCAGCAGGGACCATGCAGCCCGCCTCAGCCTGTCCCTGCAGAGGGGGCATCCCCTGGCAGGGTGTCCTGCTGGCAGGTAAGAGGGGACAGTTCCCTGAGGAGGGCGGGAGGTGGAGCACAGTCTTGCTGGTGTCCCCAGGGAGGACCCAACCCTCACAGGGGACACAGGGCTTCACTCTGTCCATTGGGAACAGAACACAGAAGACAAAAGTTCACCAACAGGAACAGATGAAGGGGGATGGAAAGCTCAGGGGTTCTCTTCTCCAAGTTACTCACCAGATGCCTTTATATTTTGAAAATTGATGTTAACAGCTGTCAGGGCCACTCTCCAAATAGAAAGGCAACTTGAGCAGTGGACATTCGCTCAAGCCACCAGCCTCAGACATTGGCACACAGATACCTGGATGCTCAGGGCGGGGACACTGCTTCACTCATCCACAGGAGGCTGAGCCTGGTCCAGGCCCTGGGCTACCACAAGGGTCAGACTAGTCTCTGCCTCCTGGAGCTTCCTCTCTAGAGGGCAGGAGGCCAGGCCAGAGGGAGATCTGCAGGTGAGGCCAGGTGCTGTGTAGA